AGACAGCAGCCATCTTACAAACACAGGTAACTGCCAGTCTGTGAGGAGTCTGAAATCACAGCTTCCACAGCAAGAACCTGGGTCTGGCAGACCGTGCTCTGAAGCGCTAACTGCTACACCTAGGGTAGCCAACCTCCAAGTGGAGCCTGAAGATCACTGGGTATCACAACTGAACTCCAGACAACAGATCCCTTCCCCCCCTGGAGAAAATAACTGCTTTGGACGGTGGCCTCTGTGGCATTCTATTCAGCTGAGGCCTCTCCCATCCCCAAACTCTGGCTTCCTTACACTGGCTTCCTTAGACACAGAATAGCCAGAAATTCTCCAACCTGGATCTGGCAACCCTAGTCAGGACTGGCCCCAATGATTTCCTCACAACAGCCACTGAGGGGAAAGTTAGTCGCACACAGGAGGCAAGCAGGAGAAGCGTCTTCACCATGAGAGAAGCCATTTGCAAGCAATTCTGACAGGGCACAGTGGCTGAAGGGGGAGAGGAGTAGACGCAGCACCCGGCCAATGGTACGTGAGTACTCTTGAGTGGCGGCTGGTGGGCCAGTGGCTGAGGGAGCGCATTTCAAAGCCAATGGGAGAGCTGGAAAGTGCCACTCCACTTCACAATTATATATAAGGAGAGAACCGGCCCTCATAACAAATGAGTTAAGATGCCTCTGGTTTAAACTATGGTTAGTATGATTGTCCAAGTGCAGACTACTGAATTAACAATGGTCAGTTAGGGTCTGTAAAAATAGGATTTGAAGTTGGCTTAATAACTACAGTTTCATGGTTTCTTTTAATGTACAAATGCGGGCACCCTGGTTACATCCCGATCTGTAGCATTATACACTGCTGAGGTTTCTCCCCTCCCCAGCTTCACCCCCCTGTTGAGAATTGAGCCATTGCAATTCACTTTTTTAACTTCAGTTTTTATTTCAAAAGCAAATAAATGCATAAATCAAACAGGATGTTGGCCAGTCGCAAATTAATTTGACAATAGGACCTGGTGGTACCCCTCCCACTTTGATATGTGGTGCATCTACTCTGCACCCTACGCAGAGTACAAATGTACACCAAATGTGCATGAAGCTTAGAGGCTTACTTTTAGAAAATGAGGGATTCGTAAGGTCTGTGCCCAGTACCATGTTTTATGTTTGTGTATTTTCTATGCAGGATCTCTGAATCCATCTATAGTATTGGTAAAACAGTGTGAGCATAAGGGATATGTATGTTTTGTTGACATTTATTCATTACTTTTTTCTCTAGCACGCCCAGTTACAACTATGCACCAAACCCAGACAAGCATTGGATCATGAGGTATACTGGACCCATGAAACCTATTCACATGGAATTCACCAATATGCTACAGCAGAAACGCCTTCAAACTCTTGTGTCTGTAGATGACTCTATGGAGGCGGTAAGACCTCTCATCCCATTCCCCAAGCCTTGCTGTGGTAGTCCATCCAAGATGTGAGTTCAGATTTGCAAACACTAAACATAAACTGCATAATCCCAAGACTGTCAACTTTTTTTATATAAGACTGAGTCTCTCCGGGCAGGTTGGTAGCATCAGCTACTAGAATTTTAAGAACAATATAATATCCCCAATAGCCACTGTGGTGCAACTGATACACACAGATTTAAAACAATATGGGAAAGGGAAGCTCTGTATTCTCCATGCAGAATTTAGAGACTAATCGGCCATTGCTTATTATTTTACTGCAACCTTGGTGAGCCCACCTAGAAATAAAAGCTATTTTGATATTGAAGTGGAGGTTCTTCATTAGAACTTAAATTGTGTAAATAATCTTATTGATTATCACTTCGGGTTTCACGGTGCAGGGTGCAGTTTAGGACTGGCGAAAACTGCTGGGAGTTTGGGGTAGGGTGGAGGTGGGGCTGTTGTCAGTCCTTAAGCCTTCAAAGCACTTTTCCCCAAGAGATCACAGTGCCAGTAGGTAGAAGTTGCTTTGGAGCTTTCTGTCTAGCTAAGCCATCATTCTCATGTGCATGTAGTAGGTAGAGTGGACTCCAAAATTTCTTTTCGCCAGGCAAGGTGTGGTCGCTCAGAAATTAAGCATACATTTTGTATGCTAAAAGGTCAACCTCAGACATCTCCAGTTTGAAAAGAGATGGATTTTATGGCTGGGGAGATCTCTGCCTGAGAATTTCCAGATCAGCTGCCAGTTTAGTATAAAGCTGCTTTGTAGGTTATCCATAGATTGGCAGTTAGCTCGAAATCGAGTCTGCGACATATGATATTAGCAAGTAACAATCTCACAGTGCTAGCTAGCTGTGCCTCTGAACGGAGGCAGCATTCATCCCAGCCAGTTCCTTTAGTGAAAATTGATGTGCTTGTTTTTAAGCCTCTAAAGCTGCCCATCTTAACATGGAGGTGAAACAATTTATTGCTTCTAATCACCAGTTGTTGGTGTAGGGTTTTTTTTTAAAAAAGCATGTTGTTAGTGATTTAAGCATCCTAAAAAGGTGAGGTTAAGATTATATAAAGGCCCTGCATCAGTCTGCTAGTGATTATGATGATTACCATTATTGCTGATTGGTGGTTTGCTCAGGGAAGATATAATCTCTCTCAAGTGTTACTGCATGCACATGGAGAGGGGGGCCATCAGTGGTGTAACTTGCCTAAAGAGATGGGTTGATTTATTTTTAACCCCAAGTGAGCTAGCTGGAATTGAACTTGTAATTACAAGGAGCCTTGATGAGTTTTAAAAATCCATTCAGCTAGTCAAACTTAACCTCATGCTTTTTGTCACAAGCACATTCCCAGAATAGTTGTGTCTTGACCTGCTTTTCTAAATCAAACAAGGAGGTATCTGGGTCACCATAATATGTCTTCGTTTTCACACTTTACTTCCCAAAGACAGATTTTTAAGGAAGGAAGCATAGATTCATGTCTGCATTTTGAGGGGAACATATGATTTACCCACTGTGCATTAACCAAGGGGGAGAAAAAAAACTTCTGCCATAACTCTATAATAAACACAGTCAGCTGTTAACTTTTGTGAGCTAGTTACAGTAAGTTGTTCTCCTTCAGACCGAATGAAAGCCATACTGGCTTTAGAATTTTTAACCTTGTTATGTTCCTTGTGGGTTAAGGATGGATACATGCTTCATTTTAAGTAACCTGAGTTCATTGGTTTACTAGAAGATCCATTTTGTGATCCACCCACCTTACAGGGTGTCTGTTGTGGGGAGGGAAAGGGCTGCTCTGAGACTCCAAGTGAAGGGCGGGATATAAATCCAATCTCTTCTTCTCCTCTTCTTCTGAGAGTACTATATTTTAAGAGCTGTTTCTTGATGACTGTACAGGTGTTAGCCAATTGGTACTGTGCATAGAATAGCTGGCTTCTGCCTCATACTTGCAGAACTAAGATCTCATTCCTGGAAAGAGAAAGTACACTTGGACTGAGTGTCATGAGAACACTTGCAGTTCATTCCTGCCATCCTACGCATGTTAGGTTTGCCTTCACCCTTTCAGTATTATAACTACTTTTGGCTTACTATTAAGTCATGTGGACTGTAGTGCAAGAAGCTGCTGTCAAGATACAGCCTCGTTTATCTTGTTTTCTTTTAAGTTTATCGAACTCATGTGACCCCAGTAAAACAGCTATTAAAGGTAAAGATTCCCTTGCTCGAAAGCCAGTCGAATCCGACTCTAGGGTTGCGGTGCTCATCTCCGTTTCAAAGCTGAAGAGCCAGCGTTGTCCAAAGACGTTTCCGTGGTCATGTGGCCGGCATGACTAAACACCAAGGTGCACGGAACACTGTTACCTTCCCACCGAAGTGGTACCTGTTTATCTACTTGCAATTTCTTGCTTTCGAACTGCTAGGTTGGCAGGAGCTGGAACTAGAGATGGGAGCTCACTCAGTCATGCGGCACTCGGGTCTCGAACTGCTGAACTACTGACCTTCCACAGCCTGCAGTTCAGCATCTTAACCACTTGAGCCACCGCAGCTATTACATGGCTTCTAATTCCCCTCCAAGCCCAATTCAAGGTGTTGATGTTAAACTTTAACCTACAAGGCTTGGGATTGGAGTATCTGGAGGGCTGTCTTCTCCTATACATTCCTGCTCAGCTACTAAGATCACAGGGAGAGACTCTCTTCACTGCCCCCATCTACCAGAGAAGCTGGGTACACGAGAGAGGGCCTTTTCCATGGCAGCTGCATGGTTATGGAGCAACTTCCCCAGGGAGGAGTGCCTGGCCCTCTTGCTTTTGACCTTTAGGAGGCAGCTGAAGACAGTTTCATTCAGGAGGGTATTCAATTAATTTTAGTTCTTCTGCCTACTGGTAGCCTTAAATTTTTGATTTAAAATTAGTGGCTTTATGTATTTTATTGTGCTTTATTGCTGTTTATATTATAAGACACCTTGAATTCCTGTAAGGTAGAAATGCGGCTCACAGATATTTTAAGTATTTTTTTTTTAATTGCCCAATAAAAAAGGGGGAAACGCCAAAAAGACAGAAGATGTAATGTCAGGATTCTGAAAGACCTAATCCTGTTCAGGCACTTAACTTACTTTTTTTTTAAGTTTTCTTTTTTTGTTCGCATACATAAGTTGTTCATGCACTTTGATAAGTAGACAGGGTCTGAAATGTCCTTTGGTTTGGAAAGTTCTCTGAGCAAATTTAATTTCTGATGCAATAAGAATAGTAGTTGCCCGTTGTTGCCCCCTCGTTAAGACAGTTTTAAGTTTTATTTTTCACTATCCTTGGGTCTTAATACCTTGTGCATAATCCTGTTGTTTTTTTAAAGAAAAAATAGGAATGTTATGTTTCTATTCATTCTCTTTTGTTTTCAGATCTATAATACATTGATTGAAACAGGTGAACTGGATAATACATATGTAATATATACTGCAGACCATGGCTATCATATTGGACAATTCGGGCTGGTGAAAGGAAAATCCATGCCTTATGAATTTGACATCAGAGTTCCTTTTTATATTCGTGGTCCTAATGTGGAGGCAGGATCCTTGTAAGTTCATGGAGTTTATAAGATAACTATCTTCTTGGTTCTGCATGGCCTTTGTAGGGGTTTTTTTGGTTTGTTTTTTTACCTTGACCTATTCACAGTCTTTCTTAAAGTTTGATGACACTAAAACCAATATTCTTTGCTGCTTAGAAATTTTAGGAGACATATTAGGATAGTTTGGCATTCAATTGATTTTGCATTTAAATCCCAGTATAGTAGAGGTGGGCATGAACCGGAAAAAACAGAGGTTCATCGAGGTTTGTGATTCAGGGTTTTCATGAACCATGAACTTCCACAAACTTCTCCATTGTACGAACCACTCCATTGTACGAACCAATCTTCAGGAAGTTCGTGGGGCTGCAACCCCACCTGGAAGTGAGCTCCAAAGGCTTTAAATGGTTTCCGAGGCAACCTCTGGGTTGGGCTGGCCTAACTGAGCTCCCAGAGTGAGCTCACTTCTGGGTGGGGCCTTCCCATATAAGGGCCTGCCCATGTAATGGTATATAAGGCCTATAAAAGCCTTCAGAGCTCACTCTGGGAGCTCAGTCGAGTCAGGCCACCTGGCTCAACTGGGCTCCCAGAGTGAGCTCCAAAGGAGAAGAAGATTGGATTTATACCCCGCCCTTCACTCGGAGTCTCAGAGTGGCTTACAAACTCCTTTCCCTTCCCCTCCCCACAACACCCTGTGAGGTAGGTGGGGCTGAGAGAGCTCTCTCGAGAACTGCCCTTGAGAGAATAGCTCTGAAGGAACTTATGACTGACCCAAGGTCACACCAACAGCTGCATGTGGAGGAGTGGGGAATCAAACCCGGTTCTCACTCTCAGAGCTCAGTCGGGCTAGCCTGACCAGGAAATAAGCTCCCCCGCATTGCCTGGGGAGTTAATTGATCAGTGCCAGGCTGTCTGGCCCGACGAAGGGCCACAACTCACTGAAGCAAAACATAGTGAGTCGTGGATCGCTTTGTCAACAAAGCAGTTACCCAAAGCAGCTACTCACTACACACGAAGTGGCATGAGTCATGACGACTTTCGCTTCGTGTGCTGCTTCGTGCCCATCCCTGCAGTCACTGTTCCCTCTAAGCTGAGTTAGTGTGAGCTAGCTCACAGTTTTTTAGCCTCCAGCTCACACATTTTTGTCTCAGCTCAGGAAGGATGGCTCCAGTGCAAACTAATTTTTGCATGCAGCCAAATTGCTCGCCCACAACTTTAATGCCAGGAGCTCACAAAGTAGATTTTTTGCTCACAAGACTCCACAGCTTAGAGGGAGCATTGCCTAAAGTGTAGCCATTAATGCCCTGGGAGGCCTCTGTTCCTCGTGCACTAAAAATTGGATAAAAATAACAACATTGCAGAAGGTTGCTGTAAGGCTAAATGAAATAAAGATTATTAAACACTTTGTGCATTAAACTCTCAGAACAGATTGCTGGTTATGATACATGTGGTAAATCATTGTTTCCTTTTTTGGGGGGGAAATTATATATTGTTTTAGGGTGACAAAATAACCACAAATCTTTAGAATGAATGCTTAGTTATGATAATAAAATTTCATAAGTCTTAATTCCCTTTCTCTTCCCTCTGCCAATTTGAGTTTGGATAATATTCATTCAGTGGGGTTCCCAGATTTTATTTTTTTTTAAAGGCAGTTTAAAGCAGTAGAAGAGCTGCTTTTTATTCCCCACTTCTTTCTACCTTAAGGAGTCTCAAAGCAGCTTTCAATCACCTTCCCTTCCCCTCCCCACAACATCTCCCTTTTAAGGTAGGTGGTTCTGAAGGAGTTCTGAGAGAACTGTGACTGACCCAAGGTCACCCAGCAGGATGCCTGTGAAGGAGTGGGGAATCAAACCCATTCTCCAGATTAGAGTCTGCTGCTCTTAACCACTCTACCACACTGAGCAAGTTAGGTGAAAAAGAGGGAGGGAGAAGGTATGCTTTCTACAGAGCATCTAAGGAACATTCCACATCAGGCTTCCTAGACTCTTTTTACAAAAGAATGCCTTGTCTGGCAAAACCTCCTCTCTGTCAAGCTGTATATTAGTGTAGGATGATCAGCAGATTCCATTGACATTTTTACTTCTGCATACAATAATACTCCTTTCTTGCAGTATTAGGAAGCAGCAATGGAGCTCAAAGGGTATTTACATTGCAATATCCCCATACATGATATAGTTACAAGCTACCCCTTCAACACAGGTGTTGGGGGAAAACTTGTCCAAAATCCTGCATATCATTATGATGAAAGGCACAGTCCTTCAACTAAGTTCCAGACTAAGCCATAATGTTCCTAAGTAATAATATTGTATAACGTTCACTGCCTTAGTGTATCACTGTCATCTGATGTTAATTAATTAATACAGTGAAATCCCTGTTCTCGTCTCTTAAGAGAAACCCATGCAATATTTACTTGATGTTCCATTTACCCTCCTCCCTGCCAAATAAAGACACAAAAGGGTCTCCTTGGTTTCTCCTTTGAGATTAAACAGTTACAAGCAGTTTGTCAGTGACGTACAAGAATACAGAGCACGACTGTTAATTAAAATGGTAGCTTTGATCAGCTGAGAAATTATGTAAATATACTTTCTAAGTAATTATTTTAATAGCAAATATTTGCAATGAAGCAATTATTTTGGACACAGTGCCACAGTATGCAAACTTTAATGCATACCAGTATGCATACATTAACATAATTAGCACTTACATTTTCCCACCCTTAGCTTCTGTTTCCTTTTTGTTTACTGAAACGATCTAAGGAAGCAAGATTAAGAATGCTGCAAAAATGCCATTTTTAAAAATAAGTTGATAATGTATTCCTTGAATTTCAAACAAGTGCATTGCAGCAGAGTAGACAAGAAATACAAAATGCCCAGATAGGGGTGATTTGAAGGATAGTTCAAAAGCATATAGAGATTATTAGAAGTTATGAGTACTCAGGAGATAGCCAGGAGTTTTTTAGCTGTGTCATTCTGTCTCCTCCTGGAAAGCTACAACGCATCTCCCCCTAACCTAGTATTCCCCCTGATTACCTACAATCATGCCCTTGTACAGCCTTACAACAGAGGCAAATTACAAACCTACCTGGGGCAGCTGAATTCCAGGGATTCTTGCCGTTCCAGAAATTGTGCTTGTGTCCAGGTTCCCATGCTGCTTCTGGCACAGCTGGTTCCCTGCATGAATTGAGAAAACATATCAAACATTTACAGAACACTCTTT